GAAACTACCGTGTGTAACCAGAAACGTTACACATCACATCACGACTACAGGACCACCTGTATTCTCTAAAGCACGACGACTAGCTCCCAAAAAGCTGAGGTTGGTGAAAAACGAGTTTGACCATATGATAGACTTAGGAATCATACGACCGTCAAGTAGCCCATATGCATCTCCGTTGCACATGGTCCCTAAAAAGGACAGCAACGATTGGCGTCCAACTGGTGACTATCGGCGATTGAACGCGAAAACCATTCCCGATCGTTACCCGTTGCCTCACACTCACGATTTGACTGCTACCTTGAAAGGTACAACTGTCTTTTCGAAAATCGACTTGGTTAAAGCGTATAACCAAATCCCTATGGCTACTGACGACATACCGAAAACAGCTATCATAACTCCTTTCGGACTCTATGAAGTTTTGCGAATGCTTTTCGGTCTAAGGAACGCTGCTCAAACATTCCAAAGATTCATAGACGACGTTTTTCGAGGTCTCAACTTCGTACACGCGTATGTTGACGACTGTCTAATCGCAATTATGGACAGAGAATCACATCTCATGCATCCGGATCTTGTTTTCGAACGACTACAAAAACATGGCATTACTGTAAACGTTCAGAAATGCAAAATTGGAACCGACTCATTAGACTTTCTGGGACACACTATCGATGTTCAAGATATCCGACCTCTTAGAACCAAAGTGGCTGCCATTCTGGATTACCCAGAACCGACCACCGTTAAGCAATTACGCACGTTCAACGGCCTGGTAAGTTTCTATAGACGTTTCATACCGAAATGCGCATTACTCATGAAACCGCTAACCGACCAACTTCGTGGAAATGCGAAATCCATTAATTTGGAAGACACCGCACGAACAGCATTCTCCACAGTTGAGGAACTGATTGCAGAAGCAACAATGCTCGCACATCAGGACACCGAAGCACCCATTAGTATCTCAGTAGACGCATCGGACTCGGCAATCTGAGGCGTCTTACAACAATGGGTTAACAACTCCTGGCAACCCTTGGCATTTTTCTCTAGAAGGTTGCTAGACACCGAATCAAGGTACAGCACATTCGGTAGGGAACTCCTAGCTATGTATTGTGCTGTACGGCATTTCCAACACTACATCGAAGGCCGTGAATTCACTCTTTTCACGGATCATAAACCGCTTACTTTCTCGTTAAGCTCTCCTTCAAACAAGTACTCTCCCCGTGAGTCTCGACAACTGGACTACATTTCGCAGTTTACTTCAGATATTCAAAACATCTCTGGAGCAAACAATGTAGTTGCAGACGCTTTATCTCGTATAACTTCCTTGAACAGTTTCCAAGGAATCGACCTTCTTAAACTCGCCGAGCTTCAAAAAGAAGACAGTGATCTTCAGCACGAGTTATCGTCCACAACACTTAAACTACGCATCAAACAGATGGGAACAGGTAAGGAAACCTTACTTTGTGACACATCTACAGGTAGGGATCGCCCAATCGTGCCGAAACATTATCGACGCAATGTCTTCAACACATTGCACAAACTTTCTCATCCAGGTGTTCGTGCAACCATCAAGCTTATAGCAGAACGGTTTTGTTGGCCTGGCATGAATAAAGATGTGAGGGAGTGGGCACGCTCCTGTGTAAGTTGCCAAAAATCTAAGGTCATCAGACACAATAAATGTCCCTTAGGCTCGTTTAAAACTCCCGATGCTCGTTTCGACCATGTTCATCTGGATTTGGTAGGACCTTTACCAGATTCAAATGGATACTCTTATCTCTTAACCTGCGTAGACCGTTTCACTCGATGGCCAGAAGCAGTACCTATCAAGGACATCACTGATGAAACAGTGGCCCGCATGTTCGGCTGCCCTTCAACCATCACTACAGACCGCGGACGTCAGTTTGAATCCGATCTTTTCCGTCGTCTGACCACACTTTTAGGAATCACTCGCTTCCGAACGACCGCCTACCATCCACAAGCAAACGGGTTGGTAGAACGTTTTCACCGACAACTGAAAGCTTCGCTATCAGCTGCAAACGTTTCACAGTGGACCGACGCTCTTCCACTCGTCTTACTAGGTATCCGCAATGCAGTGAAAGCTGACATTGGATACACTGCGTCTCAACTCGTTTATGGAACGATACTTCGACTTCCAGGAGAATTCGTGGATCCTTCATCCTCTTCAATGAACATGGATCTAACCTCCTACACGAATAGGCTTACAAACGCAATGCGTTCAGTTAAACCTGCTTCCACTCGACCTCAATCAACTGATGTTTTCGTTTAACCTGACTTACGATATAGTACACACGTTTTCATTCGTCGAGACTCGCATCGACGACCATTCGAATCAGCATACGAAGGACCCTTGAAAGTTCTTCAACGTGAATCTAAGTACTATATAGTCGATAAGAACGGAACCAACGATAGCATCAGCATCGATCGCTTAAAAGCAGCGTATTTAGAAGGAAATCCTATCTACGTGGATCTTCCTTCGGTACAATCGAACGACACGACTCCGACACTTATAATACCTCATCCGACAACCAACACACACGATGATACTTCGACAGTATCCGAAAATAAACTTAAAACGACGCGTTCTGGAAGAAGGGTGAGATTTCCAGAACATTTAAACGACTATTGCACGTAAGGCACTTCTCGACATTTTATATTATTTTTTTTAAAAAAACAAAAAACAATTTTAATATGCTTATGTATTTTAATTTCTATTTTTAAAAAAAACAAAACAAAAAAAAACAATTTTTTTAACGCTATTACGTGTTCATGAGTTTATTTTCCATTTTTTATCCGCCGACATTGTGTTTTTACGCACATACGAGTGTACTTTCGACATGCACTTACATTTTCTTTTTTCTTTTCCAGGACGGCTGGAAAAGAACGATGACGTTTATGAGGATCCGAAATTTTCATTGTACATTTTCTTTTTTTACTATGTTGTACCACCGTCCCATATAGTAAGGAAAGACGACCAGACGCTGCTGCACTTAGTAAGCTATCAGAAGAGTGTTTACCAACGACAAAGTCGTTGGGTTTAAACTTCTGGCTGGCCACGTCTTAGGGACATCACTGCCCCACTAGGGGGGAGTGATCTGTAGCGGTAAATAAATCCCTAAAATAAATAGCTCTGTAAGTTTTCGACATTGGATGCTGACCATATGTTTTAGTGGACTCATCTAGCTGAAGGCGCTCGGTCAGGCATCCGTACCAGATCACGTGTGGCAACGCCGTGCTCAACATCAACCGCAATCGCTAGCCAGATTAGATCAGAGAATTCCGATATATTGGTCATCGCCAAATATCTCTTCCGATCTCCTCGACTCTGTCTTTTGATTTCTCTGGGTGGGAACAAAATATATTAGAAGGTGTTACTGGTAGAAGCGTTGTCAAACACTGAATACCTGTGACATCATCAATCCGTATATATTGTAGTACCTGACCGCAGCCAGTTTTACTGGTGCTCTTATTCTCCAGTTCGCAATAATTTTCGTAATGTGCCTTAGTGAGGAATTATATAAACGGTTTTCATCACGAACTGACATCAGCCATAATGCCAGTAATTTATTTAGCCAAATGGATAAAAGGCTTCTGCGTTAAAATCCGAGATCTAATATCTTATATCTGACTGATTCGTCCACAAATTGTAGTCTCTCCGTTTTATTTGTTATGGCGGCTCAATTATCACATTTTGCACAAAATTCCCTGTGAACCGATTGTACGTTGGCATTAGCTACTGAAGTTGGAGCCGTAACCTTGAAATCTCTAGGACGCTTCTGATTGGCTCGTTCATGAATTAGTCTCGCCCGGAATTTCTATAATACTGATTGTTGTCCTATTTCTTTGTACAAATTACTTATACTGCCTACAACTTGAACCACTACCAAATGTCATTATTATGCACTTGAATATGACTTGTTAAAATATCTCTATACTAAATCGTTCTTCCATGTAAGACCTTATATAACGTGCAGTTAAATGACAAGTCTACAGTTTTAAGATTTGGTCTATTATTAGAGTAGTACTCATAACGAAGTAGACAATAATTCTACAGGGTCTAAGAACCCTTCAGTAGCTCATGTTATAAATAACCCCAATTTTCTGAACATAAAATATCGAGTAGAGGATTCTTCATATGTTTCGCCCCTTTTCTCTCGTGTTTAAGTTGTCGTGTAGATTTAGCCTGGGGTTATTAGATAAACTTAAGAAACCTATTCAACCATTCAGTCAGAGGATCTGTCAGATCCACGAAGTACGGGCAGTGGATATCAACTTACAAGGGTATATACATCTCGGCGGTGATCTTGCAATCACGTAAACCACTTTAAACACAGCTAAGCATCCCCAAAAATGCATAACAAGGCTCAGTATCAACACAAATCCTAGAGGCCGCACTCAAAAATTGTAGATGCAGCATGGTGTACCGGATCGTAGGTGCACCTTATACTATCTACGAGTGACCAGATTCTGGAATTCGTTGCCAGCTGAAGTGGTCCAAGTTACTTCTCTGGAGTTTTTTATTAGGGACCTTAACGTATTCTTAAGGACTTAGGGTAATATTATAGATAATTTACCCGATTTTTTTCACTGGTTAATTTACACAGATTTCTTCCTTGAGGTTTCGGTAATCCACCACTACCAATTAGGGAAGCTTATTATACAAAGGTTGCTTCTGTTCCATCCATCATCATTTGAACATGGGCAGTGTCGGGATATGGACATGTTTGACCAAGCTCTCTTGTCTAGAAGTATCCGTTTAAAGTAGAAAATCGGCACCAATCTCGAGAGTTTATAAAGGCGTCTACTTTGAAGAGCTATATACAGTCATGACTCTAGAAACGACTCCCAATATTTATGACGTCGCATAGTTTTTTCATATTATCTACAGTTGAATAAATTATGGAAAAGCATAAAGTACGTGCAATTCAAAAAATTAATTTAAAAAAACCGTGTTTCGTGTCTAGAGATTTCTGAGTGTTTGTTTTGTCACCGCGTAAGCGAAAAGAAAATTCCGCGGGTCACTTGACTGTTTGGGAATAATGTCGGGCAACGTTGGGATGGAACAGCTTATCCCGTTGGTTAACCGGCTGCAAGATGCATTTTCCTCATTAGGAGTCCCACTCAATTTGGATCTGCCTCAGATCGCTGTAGTCGGAAGCCAAAGCGCAGGAAAAAGCAGTGTTTTGGAAAATTTCGTCGGTCGGTAGGGCTGTTATGTTACCTATTTTATTGTCTCAATTAGAGACTTTCTCCCTCGTGGAAGTGGGATTGTCACACGCCGACCTTTGGTCTTGCAACTAATCAATTCGCGCAACGGTAAGCTACGGTTATAGTTTGATCTTATTATTAGAATATGCTGAATTCCTCCACTGTAAAAACAAGCAGTTTACAGACTTTGATGAGGTTCGTAAAGAAATAGAAGCGGAGACAGACAGGCTAACTGGAAGTAACAAAGGAATTTCCAACACCCCTATTAATCTTCGTGTTTACTCTCCCAATGGTAAGCCCGGAATCTAAATTTTATGTATTTCCGTATTGTTTTGTGATAGTCATGTAGATATCGGTTTTTCCTAAGCTCTTTTGATTACGATGCACTTGGTCTATTCCAGATTAACTCCCTGAAACTAATCATTTCAACAACAGTGAAAACTCAAAACAGTACGTTGTATTATAGTGTTTATTAACTTGAGGAAGAACAAATGTGGTTTTCAGGAATTGTTTGGAATAATGGTAAGGTGCCTAGATTAGGTACTTGTTAGTCCGCGATTAAAAATGACTATCTAACACATCTAACAAGTTTAAATACCGAATACTTATTTCCAAAATAAATATTTAGGATGTTTGGACAGTAGTTGTTGATTTTGTTGTCCAAATAAGTTCCGTAGTCTCCTCACTACCAGTTCTATACCAGGTGAATTTGTCATTCGAATGGTTTCATACTTGGATACCAAAGTCACCAATATGTGCAATGTCTTATTTTGTGTTGGGGTTTGAAAGCGTATCGGTTTAGAAAACTATTAATTTAAAAGTTGATGTTGTACGTAAGTATGTTTCACACGTTATGTAAATAAGTTACACGCATCAAATCACCTAGCCAATTAAGTCGATAGCAACACGCTCAATAGGAGAAAGTATCGACCTTGTTCATATTTAGATTCTAATGTCACTATTGATGTTCATACTTCCCAATCAATTTATTGGCGTTACTTGAAGGCAGTCCATAAATTATAGTCTCACCAGTTGACTAATCGATCGAGTTAATCCTGTCCGAAATTCATTATTATGTACACCTGGATTTTTTATTGTCTGTGCATTGTCAGTTGTGTTCTTCATCTTATGTTCATTAAATTTATCGGGAATTAAAGTACCTTGTATGATTAAGGATTGTTAAATTGGCAACGTAGGATCAGATGTCTCAATGCCAGACCATGTACGTACATTAAATTTATGTTTTCGTTTGCGCTAAGTAAGACTGAATCCAAAAAGATTTTGTGCTGTTTATTATTATTATTATTATTATTATTATTATTATTATTATTATTATTATTATATTAACACAAACATTAGTACTAGGAGGCACCAAATAAATATGCGCACATAAATCATGCGATTTATGTGAGGGCTAGGATACTACCCGGGTGCCCAGATCGAAGCAGGTAGTTTTCTTAGGGAGCCACACACGGAGCCTTTGACCTAAAGGTCTGATCCACAAGGCCGTCGAGCAACGTCACAAGATGCAATCTCATGGTAGCCTGTGACCAACGATTAGTTCATACGCCATTTGTTCCCTCATGATCCTGGAGCCCATGTACACCATTGGTTTTGAATCAGGGTTTCCCAACTAGCTTAGGTGGACTCTCCATGTCCACCGACCCGGTTAAAGCGCTGGAGTTTCGCATTTCGTCCTCTCGAATTCGTAAACAACACTCCCTCCACGAGAAGTCAGTGAGTAGGACTTTTCTGGTAGAAGCTATATACGCGTGACCATATGAGAGCATTTTGAGAGGGGGAGCTGACTCTCCCTAATCTTAGCTGTACCAGGGCATTTGGGGGCTTATTTTGTGATGTCTGGATATGGTGCCTTTCTTAGTATTTCTTGCAGTTCAGCTTGTCGTGTAAGGTCTCACACAGCTCAACAAAACGATCGTCTGAATAATTACTGTTAGTCTTCAGCTTTATCTGAGTTGCACTTATTATGTGGTCTTGTACTAACTAAACGCTCAGACAACAGGGGTTATTTTTTAACAACAAATAACCTATTAGTTGAGTTTTCATATTAATGTAGGTTAATTAGTATGTTCGGTTGTAGTGAATTTTCAGTTTATCAGCCTATTATTCAGTTTATTTTACTAGCTATTCATTAGTTATTCATTTTAATTCATTACTGAGCAGCAATATGACATTTTTTATTACTATTAATATTTCTGCCAACTGTTGTGAGTTCAACAACATGAGGTTTCCTGAAGTTCTAGTTTCAACTGTTTATAGACGTCTTTTATTTCATTTTGTTCTATATGTAACATTAGTTCTTTCTGACCAAAAACGTATTTCATTATAGATTCACTTTGCTTTGGAATAGCGTAACTTATCCCACAGTCCATTCCATGCTCATCACATCAACTAAGTTCTTCGTGTGCCTGTGTCGTTTTAAAAAAATCAAACTTCATTGAGTTTTCAAAATTCCCCTCCCATTTTCTAGTTGAGCGGCCAAGTAGTATTTGGAATAAACAGAAATTTGCATTACTATCTGTTTGTACAGATAGCTGTTAACTGTTTCTTAAAAGAGAAAACCTCTGACACAATCGTCAGTCGAAGAATTCAGCATTCATTTAGAGTAGTCATTTGTGTTGTTTGTGGAATATCGGTATATTGATTGGTTTCAGTTCTGTCGTCACTTTTACGTAGATAATGATCTGCTACTAACCTGTAACAGCGTTTATGAAACCGGCTATTCCATGACCAAAGAGGAAAGGTCTTTTTGCAGAGACGAGCTGTTGAGTCGCAAAGATAAAGAATGGCGACAAGACTGAAAATAAACTTGAAGTTTCACAAAATCCATTAGTTCGTAACACGTTGAATGGAAGTATCATTTGAATGGATAATAAGACTAAAGAAACAAGCTATTTTCCCCGTAATTATTAACTGTTATATTTGTAAGTGAATCAGCATACTGCCCAGGAGCTCAGACTGAACTAGTTAGTTTTCTTGGAGGGCCAATACCCGAGAGTTTGACGTATAGATCTAATCCACAAGATTAGAGCGAAGTCATTAATTCAGTCTCATAGTAGTCTGTGATAAAAATTAGTTTCATATCCTATCCGCTCCATTGTGGTCTTGAAGACCATATACACCATATGTTTGAAATCAGGGTTTCCCAAATCCCCTAGGTAGATCCTCCGTTTTCAACAACTCAATCAAAGCTCCGAACGTTTTCGTTTTGTCCTCTCGTTTTCGTGAAAACTTCTTGCTGCGTGAAGGGAGTGAAACTTTCTTAGCAGAGGTTGTAAACCCATGGCGTATCACAGCATGTCAAGAAGTGAGCACTCTCTTTACCCTCAGCTGTACCAGGGCGATTGGCAGCTTGCATTTTTGTCCATTATTTATTCTTTTGTTCCTGCTTTTGATGAAGTATTATTACTAACAAACATTTAATAGATCTCTCCTTATAAGAATTTCCACTGTATAGCTTTGAAAATTCAATTACAGAAGAGAAATCTTTATTTTAACGTTCGTATTCTACACTACTTGTACAGAATCTAGATTATAGCGTTTTTTCGCTGTAAAACATGGGAAAAGTTCATTATATACATGCCTTTAATTTTGAGCACATGAATTGGTTTTTGAGTAGAAGACACCCGTAAGTTACTAGTATTTGACCACAGATGCCTTAGAAATATTGCTGGTGTCTGCTGGGATCACCGGATAAGTAATAGTGAGGCTAGACGCAGGGTATTAGGGAATGATGGTAAATCAGTTGATGAGGTTATGAATCTTCATCGACTGAGATGGTTGGGCCACGTATTACGTATGCCTGAACACCGATTACCACGACGTGCAATGCTAACCGGGGTAGGGGATGGTTGGAAGAAAGTTAGGGGCGGCCAAACCAAAACGTGGCATCAGTGCCTGAAGTCACTAACTTCTAGTCTGAGCCATGTTGGTAGATGCAGACTACTTGGTTGGGGTCCGCGTGACTTTCGTAACCAATGGTTGGAGACTCTTGGTGACATGGCTCAGAATCGATCACAATGGCGTCGGTGTATACACTCCCTGTCTTCCCTTAAACTAAGAGACTAAAATCACTTCATTCTTTCTGTCTACGAACTAATTCTTTCTTCCTATACTATATCCTTATTGCAACCTTTGACCTAACCACTCCTATGAATCCGCTGTTCATCTTGCTGTGCTAATGAGGTATGGCAACCTGGACCGATGCACATATGTGCCTGGTCCTACGTTGTAGCTGACTGACTGACTGACTGACTATTGAATTTCAAGTGTATTCTCGACGTAGTTTACATTCAGCCTGTTATGTTCCATCTGTTTGCTTCTCAAAATGAAAAATAACACGTCTGATTATTCGAAGGAAGTCTTTCCACTTACTGTCGTGTGATATATCTGTACTAGTCTTATGTGTGACTCTAATGATCTATTGATAATTGCTTAAAATACCTACGGGGTATTGCACATACGATGTCCAACTATTCTATCTTAGTTATTCCTAACTTATTTCTAAATAGATACTTCGGTAAATTATGCCAATTTTTTTTAACTTGAAGGGTGGTTTTTTCAGGATGACTAAATTTTATCTGAATATTTTAAGGAAATATCCAAACAGAGGATACAATAAAAAAATTATTTAGAAACAGGCAAAGATCAACAGAGTTATCACGCAAGGCCTTAAGTTGGTTAGCTAGTATAAATTCATCAAAATGAATCCATCCGTGTTATTTCGTTCTAATCTTAGTTCTAAGATTGTATAGAGTTACTGCGAAATTTGTCATTATCTATATCTCTTTTCTTCATTCGAAGTTTTCATTTATCATCTGACCAACAGTTTATTATTCATGCTAACGTAATGTTATTTTTGGTGTGATAAAGGTAATTTTATTGATTAATTATTCTCTACTTTTCTGGGAAAGTTGATGAACACTGAATTAATATACTTATGTATCACATATGATTGGTGCTTATTTTCACGTAGAATAGTGATAAGAACAATTTAGCTATAAACTGTTGATCATGCGTTTGATATCTCGTATGATTGCTTTTGTTCGTTTATTTGAATAGTATCTTTAAATACTGAATTCCTGAATGCGCCAATATGTACGTAGTTTGTGTACAACCTTTCCTTTCATTAAGGATTAAGTTTTATAATTTATTGTAATTCATTATGCTGCTTCTATGATCTCTTTTAGTTCTCAACTTAACTCTGATTGACTTGCCTGGAATGACTAAAGTTCCTGTCGGTGATCAACCTCTAGATATTGAAGTTCAAATTAGATCAATGATTTTGGAATTTATTACGCAGGAAAATTGTTTAATTTTGGCTGTTTCCCCCGCAAATTCCGATTTAGCTAATTCAGATGCATTAAAGTTGTCCAAAGAAGTAGACCCTCAAGGTTTGCGAACAATAGGAGTAGTAACAAAGTTGGATTTAATGGATCAGGGTACGGATGCTCGAGAAATCTTGGAAAACCGTCTTCTGCCACTTAGAAGAGGTTAGTGACAATTTGTTTATTTTAAAAAACTACTTGGAATTACTAGTATGCTTTCTATTCATAGGAATTTAGAAATACCTAAGCATAACACAAAGACGGTAATACGTGTCCAAGAAGAGGTTATTCAAGGTCAAATCACCAAACGGTTTGGACAGTATAGCTGACTTTTATTTCATATGAAGCATATTTGTAGTTTTTCATACATTCATTCTGCCCCAGCTCTTCTAGTCAGTAATTTATTGCACAGTGATAAAAAGCCATACAAGTGAACAAAGAATTCTTTTGGGTACATTTAACACGATAGAATCCAGGAAAATGTAACTTAAGAATTCTGAGCTCTAACGATTGAAACTCTATTCCGAAATTATTTTTTCGTTAAAAGGCTGAACTATTCTTTAAAAGTATATAATACAGTTTAAGCCGAAAATATCAACCGTTGTTTTCCTGATAAATAATTTTAGCGTTAATGCATTCTCCTTGAAGGCTATAGTATGTGAATATGATTTTAGGAGGGGTCGAAAGTGTGTTTATACCTAGGATTTCTAACTACTGATAAGATAAACGCCACCAACTCTTCGATTATCAGGCCAGTTTGTACCCATGTATGATGAAATACAATTAATATGATCTATTCAATGAATTTTAGGCTTATAATATCTTTCAGGTATTTGATATCACTAAAACGTTATCAATTACAACGTATAATGGATGACAGATCAATTCCTGTCGTTTGTATGCTAAACTTGTTGTATCAAGATTTTTATATCAATACTTTCACTGAAAAATTTCTGATCTCTCGTTTCTGTGTAGTTATCTTCCTTAACAAAATATTCATACTAGCTCAAAGGAACCTACACTCCATCTAACAGTGTGTGATGCCTTGCTCCTACATCCTCTTTGGAGTGCCTGGTTCTAAACGAACTCTTTAACCGTAGGTAACACTCACTGCTTTCTCTAATCCATTTCCAAGAGATGTAATTTAACTGGAAATCTAATGAATACTATGTTGCAGTACATCATATTTAGTTAAATTGCTGACACAACCACTTCCATTTAAATCCTGTTTGGCCCACAACTAACGTATAACGCAGTTTGTGTAGATAAAGTTATTTCCGTCTTTGACTATCCTCCTTGGTTATACCATTTCGCTCTTTCTTCGTTTACATTTTGACTCTTCACTTGTTTTTTTTCTCCCGCTACTTTTACTCATTTTGTTGCTTTGTTATTGTATTTTGTTCCCTCCTACTCAATCAATGAATTCAAAAATAATTTCTATTGGCTAACCAGTTGAGTCCTATTCATAATATCGGATTTTCATTCCTACTAGTTATTGATCTTGTTTCTATTCTTATTAATATTATGTCCTAGTAACCTTTCTTTCATTCATCTGTTCACTGTTAGCTATTACAATGTAAAATTGAATAAATGTTCTCCAGTGGGAGGGGTGGAATTAATATTTGAGTTGCATTACGTGCTTGCTTCTGTCTAAAATTGCAAAAGATAGAAAAGATAGTTTACCAAACTATGAAGTTTCTTTTGTTCGTTTTTGAAGAAAAGTAATAAATAAGGTACCACTACTGATTTTTTTGTGTCTATAGAAAGTAGAATAAGCTTAACCTTTTATGTACACAACTCTTATGAACAGGTTGTCGGTAGCAGGGGAAGTGCACTAGTATACACATTCAGTCGAGGATACATTACTTACTCCTGTCATACCTCGTGAAAGTTTATGGGCTGCCCATCAGGATTCTCAATCGAACAATGTCTTGGTCAGTCCATTCCAGTTGTTATTCATCCTTTTCATGTTTGCTTCCCATACCCGATGCAATATTTTACTCGGTCATCTTCTTTCCTATTACTCTTCAGAATTCTAAGTTAGCGCTTGCCTCGTGATGCAGTTTGGTGATTTTCACAAATTATGTCTATCCACCTCCAACGTCTTTTCCTAATTTCCTCTTCAGCTGGAAGCTGGTTTGTTTCCTCCCACAGTAGGTTGTTGCTGATGGTATCCGTCCAACAGACATTGAGTATCTTTGGTAGATAATTGTTTATAAATACTTGTACTTTTTGATGATGTTTGTGATAGTTCTCCGAGTTTCAGCTCCACACAGTAAGGCTCTCTTGATGTTCTTATTGAAGTTTCTGAATTTGATGTTAGTTGACAGTTGCTTTCAGTTTCATATGTTCTTCAATTGTAGGAATGCGGTTCTTGCTTTGCGAATCCTCGACTTTACGTCTGCATCAGATCCTCCTTGTTCATTTATGATGTTACCCAGATACGTTAAAGTTTCCACCTCTTCCAGAGTTTCTCTATTAAATGTGATTATTGGGTTGGTGTTCTCCGTGTTGTATTTGAGGATGCTGCTTTTTCCCTTGTGTATGTAGAGGTCTACTGATGCAGAGACTGACACTACACTGTTTGTCTTGACCTGCATTTGTTGATGTGTGTGGGATAGAAGGGGTAGGTCATCTGCGAAGTCCAAATCATCTAGTTGCATCTAAGCTGTCCGTTGTATTCCATGCTTTCCCTCAGATGTGGAGGTCTTCGTAATTCAACCGACTATCAGAAGAAGGAGAAAGAGCGAGGGTGAACAATCTTGTCTGTAACCGATCCTCACTCCGAATGCATCTGTCAGCTGTCCTTCATGCACGACTTTGCAGTGTAGTCCGTCACGAGGACTCCGTATGTGGTGATAATCTTCTAAGGTACTACATAGTGTTGAAGATGGTTCCACAGGGCTATTTCATCCTCACTGTCAAATGCTTCCTCATAGTCAAGGAAGTCGATGTATAGTGACGAGTTCAATTTAGCTGATTGCTTAACAATGGTTCGTAGTGTCGCGATTTGGTCTGTGTATAACCGATCCTTACGGAATGCAGCCTGTTGATCTCGTAGTTGGGCGACTACTGAATCTTTCATCCAGTTCAGCAACACTGTTGAAAACCTTTACCGATACTGACACAAGTGTGATGCCTCTGCAGTTTTCGCACTTGCTCAGATTTCCTTTTTGGTGCCTTGATGAGGTATCCTTCTGTCTGTCAGCACTTGTTCTTCCTGCCAAATCTCCCCGAATAGAATGTGAAGCATCTTTGCAGTTACTTCTATGTCCAAATTCAGTGCTTCAGATGGTATAGTTGTTTCCTGCTGTTTCTCCACTCTTGATTTGTCTGATGACCATCTTGATTTGTTTTAACTTTGGTGGAGTGACGTCCATAGGAAGGTCTGTGTTTGGTGCTTCTATGTTCGGTGGATTGAGTGGATCTGGCTTATCCAGAAATTCCTGAAATTGTTCCGCTCATCTCTTCCCCTGTTCTTGAATCGTAGTGATTGGCTTGCCTTCTTTTCGCTTGACTGATTGCTCTAGTTTCCCATAATTCTGCGCTAGTTTCTTCGTTATACCATATAGTTTTTTCATAAGTCCTTCACTTGCAGCTGTTTTCGCTGTCATTGCTTGTTCTTCCACGTATTTCTGTTTGTCGGATCTAATGCTCCTCTTAACTTGCTTGTTTGCTTCTTTGCATTCAGCTTTTGCCATGGTTTTCTCTGTACTTGTTTGGCTGTCGTTAAGTGCTACCTTCTTGTTTTTCATTTCTTGAGTATTGTCGGCGGTTTCGGTGGAGATTCATTCCCTATGATTCTTGTTGCGGCCTGGATCCTCCTGATACGTTGAAGTTTGTCCTTCTTTGGTCCCTCTCCAGTTACTTCTTCTTTCGGCAAATCCTGTAAGGCTTGGAATCTGTTGTTGAGAGTTATCTTGAATTCTCTGAGTTTGTTTGTTTGTCGAAGGAAGGTTGTCTTGAACCTTTGTAATGCTGTTTCTCCAGTTGTCCAGTGATTCTTTCGCCTCAGTTTCATCTTGGCAACCATCAGGTAGTGATTTGAAAGCTGTCAGCTCCTCTTCTGGTTCTTACGTCTTCCATTGACCTTGTGAATTTTTTACTGATGCAAATATGATCTATCTGGTTCTACGTGGTGTGGTCCGGTGAGACCCATGTGGCTTTGTGTGTGTGTCTTTGTTTAGGAATATTGCGTCGCCCATAACCATTTTGTTGAATGCATATAAATTTTCAAATCTGTTACCGTTCTCGTTCCTTTCTCCCAATCAGTCCGTGTCGTCCCATGATTTCTTCATATCCGGTGTTGTCCATTCCAACATTACCGTTTAGGTCACCCATCAGTATGGTCAGGTCCTCTCCTAAGCATTTCACTATGATCGATTGCAACCTTTCATAGAATTGATATTTATCGTCGTTGTTGCTATCATTGGTTGGTGCATAACACTGTTTTGAAGTATGCTTTGATGATTCTGGATCCATGACATTTCCATCTTATAAGTGCTTTACGTGCTTCCTTGGACAGCATCAGAGCAACTCCGTGAGTGTGTGGAGCATTTTCTTCTCTGTGACCAGAGTACAACAGCTTCTCCTGAATCTAACTTTTTCAGTCCAGCTTGGGTCCAATGGGTTTCACTTATTCCAAGAGTCGCCAAGTTGTATCTCCTCATTTCTGTAGCTGTTTGATTGGTTCTCCCCGTTACCCACATTTTCCAAACATTCCATGTACCTATAAAAATTGTTGCTCTGGTTCTTAGAAGGAGCATCGGCCTCGTGACTTCCGAAGAATTCCGGCTTTCACCATGAGGCGTCATAATTCTCCTGAATAGTGACCCTTCAAGTGTCAGTGCAGAGTTTGTATGGTTTGATTTGTTTCTTGTGGTTAGTGTTTTTTTAGCAAGGTTGTTTTCTACGAGATGGGGTTGCTGACGCCATGTCCAACTCTCTTCTTTTACGCGGGCTCGAGACCGGCAGTAACTATAGAAGACATGCAGGCTAAGTTTGAGTATACATTAAGATAACAGTTTTAAAAAGTATTTAATCATCCCAAGCTATTAAATAAGGATACCATTGATGAAGTAACTATGAGAACATAATCTAAGGATGGCATAAAAAATAATCTGTAGATAAGAAACAAACAAGTATCTTCTAATAAAATTTTCAGAATTCAAAATATGGTGAATACATCTGCATCGATTGGTTTGAGTTAGTTTCACCCAATATATCCAAGCTCTGGTTTTAAACATGGTGTAAAGGTCATCAATTACCCCCCACCCCCATTTACGGACAATAGAGGAGATTTGTGGTTTAGGAAGTGAATTTTGAAGGTACACAGTATGATCTCAGCTTAGAGTCTTTCTATCCTACCATTACTTTAAACAATATTACTGGTTGAATAGAAAATGTATCACTCTGTAACAATTATGATTTTCCGCTAAAGTAGTTGATGCGTTGATGTTCCATACATGTATTAAGTTACGGATTAGTATCGATTACTCCCCAGTTCAATGTATGCTAGTTTGACCATTGAATGGTTAAGTAAATCATGCATAAAATAATATATTTTTGGGAGTTTTAATCTGTGGTTGTGTCTGTCGTGGATATACTTGTGGTGTATAGCGAATCATTGTCTCCTGTTAACCTTTTTCCTCTATAACAAGTAGCCACACCAGTATTTTGCCCAGATTCACCGTGGTAAGAAACGGTTTTGGAGGCTGAACGCAAATCTAAGACTTAGAAGTTTAACTTCGATGCCACTTATTTAATGGTCCCACAATAATTTGGGATGCATTTGTCTTTAAAACGCTACACTACATGTACATTCTGATTGATTGTTCTTATTCCTTTTTAAATCGACTTTTTCCATGCGATGATGCTAACAGTAGCCGGTCTAACATTATAGAATAAATACAAGTTGAGTAGACAGTGCTTGCTAAAATAAGTATTTTAAATATATACTTGGTTGGGGTCCATGTGATTAATATAACCAATAGTTAGAGACTTTAAATGACATGGCTCAAGATCGTTTGCAATGGCGCAGTTGCATCCATTTTTCATCTTCCTTGAAATTTTGAGCTTCTAAATCTCCAATAACTTTGTTTTTTTCTCACTAATTTCTATTTTTCGAATTCTATCTTCGATGCCTAATCTCTATTACCGTGGATACTATTACTACATCTACTCTTCTGGGATTCGATCTGACAATGTCATCTCTGCGCTGTTGGGGTATGGGAAATTGAATCGATTTACATACGTACGATGTCCTACTTTCTTACTGACTGAAGGATATCTCCTCATTGTTATTAACTCATCAAATGTAACACCAGTTTTCTTTTTCATTTAATTATTATAAGTAATACTCTGTTTCTTTCCTATTAATTAGGCTATATCGGTGTGGTTAATCGTAGTCAGCGGGATATTGAAGGTCGTAAAGATATTAAAGCTGCTTTAGCAGCTGAAAGAAAATTCTTTCTAAGTCATCCATCTTATCGTCATATGGCTGATCGAATGGGAACACCATTTTTGCAATCTACATTAAATCAACAATTAACTAATCATATTCGAGATACTTTACCTGGTCTAAGAAATAAACTCCAATCACAAATGCTAGCTATGGAAAAAGAAGTTGAAGAATATAAACATTACAAACCTAGTGATCCATCTTTTAAAACTAAAGCTTTGCTCCTGTAAGTTTTAATTTATATAAATTGGCTGTTCGGATTTTCTCATTGATATTTACGACTGCAATTGATCAGTCTCTTTTGGCAAATGTCCATCCTGTACAAACTGCCTCGATATTTTCATTAAGTCACAGGCATTTTCTAAACAGAGAAGGATGGTGCCTAGCAGTGGAATCCATCCAGCTGAATCATATGATGGCGTTTGGAACGAACGGTACTGAGTTTGAGTCCCAGGGTAACTATCAAATCTGGAATGCAGGTACGTCCTGCCGGCAAGCCCCAAATAGAACGAAATGCACGTCCTGAATCATACTGTTAGCCACCATCCATCTTTGCTTAAAAAGTACTGTAAGTTCTGTTATTTTTTATTAAAAAAAGACAACCCTCATGTTTACTTGATATATAACATCGTCAATCTCAATTTTAAATCACGCCAGTTGTACATTTTGATGTAGGAAGGAGTTGTGTTGTTATGATATGTATGTTCACTATTCTGCATGTTTGGTATGATAAGATTTTATCTGACTAAAATTCTTGATCTCAGTAGTAAAGTCTATTTTCATCAATATTAATAATATAAAAAAATAAGTATGAATTCGTGAATTAGGTTCTGAGTCATTTTTACTGTATTGCGACTAGAAATGATACGTTGTTGAATAAACATAAACAATCATTATGGCGCATATTCTTGATCTATTAATTTAAAATAGTGTATGTATGAATAAACATAAACAATCATTATGGCGCATATTCTTGATCTATTAATTTAAAATAGTGTATGTTCCGACCAATGAGCGATAGCTACATTTCTTCATCTATGTAGACCAAGCTAACGATAGAGCTGTGTATTTTTATTGTTCGGAACGGAATTACACATTTTATTACCACTTAGCGTATCAGGGGTATTAGATCGGTTAGTCCATAGTACAATTAACGTTGTATGATATGCTTATGATTACCGGTCTATAAATCGGACTCATGCAAAACCATAAATTTTTAGTTTCAGAAAACATCCTCCAGTTTTTTCGTCGGTTTCACTCCTGACCTTATTTTTTTTACGTTTTAATTCCTATATTTACTTCAACAGGTTTCCTGTGATTTCAAGGCATGTCATACATTTAGATAGTGCAATGCGAAGATGAGGCTTATCATTGTATTATTTAAATTTATCAAAGGAATTAATTTTCAAACATGCAATACACAGTTTTCGTAGGTCCTACCTTATTAAAAATAAATCAAACTAGTGGTGTATCACAGTAGTTGAAGAGTTTTACTTAATTTATTATAAATTACAAATTATCACTAAATCCAGAAATCATTTGAAGTATAACCATGGAGTAATATTTCTTTTCCCTTCTAATTTCAGAACAGTACAAAGTTTTGAAAAAGATTTTCATCATGCAATTGATGGAGGAGGTTCTGAAATAGATACAAAAACGTTATCTGGTGGCGCATTAATTAATCGTATATTCCATGAGCGTCTACCATATGAAATGAACAAGGTAAAATGTTCGATAATTTACTTTTTAAAGTATGTTCAGCACTCTATTAGTATCATTTTTATGACGGAGTTGACAAATCGTATAATATTTACTCCTCAAATGTAATCAAATAGCAAGTCATTTTGATGTTTTCAGACGACTAGTTTGTATGCCCTGTTGTGTAGTTATACTTAGATTTCTGTTCAGTTAAAAGTAGATTTCGCTATGTTCAACGAATTAAGATATCATCCGAAAGAACAAACAACATGCACACGATTTATACGTATATATACGATACAAAAATGTCCCTGAAAACTTCCAAAATAGCGTACTAAAAGCGGAAACGAACTACGAACGTTCAAGGTCCTTCCAGGCCAGAAACACAAACTGAAGGTAGAAATGGGAGCTTTTTGGTGTGAAAATGGGACGTTCAATTATCTGTAATAAAATTACAAAAATGAGTTTACCAAGTGATTTCTGGGGAAATAGCATTCCCAGCAGGTTTATTGTTAAGGGTTGGTGTCAGTACTCTGATCAGACTGACGATTGTAAACTCGAATTTCCCTTTTTGTCATCATACAACCGTGCGTTTATAGCATCTCCCGAGGAAAATCCTAATCAGTCCATTCACCTTTTGATCGTATTTACACAATAGTGACAGTAAACTCGTAGCGCTCTGTGTATACTAAGGGTCATCTATGTGTTGAAAAGTCATGACTACTGTCCAATAAACTAGTTTAACCATAGGATCTTGCAGTAATATATGTGGGTATCGTCACCAGCTACCGCGAAAACCCATCCTTCGAAGTTCCACACACGTCTTGTGATTTGTATTCTCAAATGGAAAGCTTCAGATATATTTTCCAACTTGTCACTAATCTTTATCCTTTAGTGATTTCAGTGTCGAGTTCAAAGATGGAATATTTCCACTTGAATGTTATGTTTTTCTCCAGGTTCTGTGGTCAGATTGAAGTACAAATATTGTCACTATACATATTTACTGTACAGAAATTTAACGAAATTCATAAATGAATTTATTTCGATGATTTTGTTCAGTTACCGTTGGACATTTTTTATCGAATAATAGACCTGTAATTAAAATAAATACTTCGTTTACTTGAGCTGTAATTTTATGACACTTCTTACAAAAAAACTTCCGATTATGCTTAATGTGTATATCGATCGTTGATTGACTTAAACATACGAAGCTTGTAAAAAGTATCTAGCATTCTTAGAATTATTTTTGTCTAAGACGTGCACCATTTGTTACTTGAATCCATATTTATGACTGACACAGAAATCGCCACCATAAGGGCCTGGCAATCGTGTGTGTAGACCCGATTCGCTGTATCACATTATGACGAGACGAAAACAACAAGATGAATAGCAGGAGATAGAAAAATGTAGTGGCAATGATAATATGATAGACCAAGCCTTGGGAATATAGTTCACAAAGACAGAATGGAAAGGTATATATGATAGGATAATAAATTTCAATATCGAGAGGAAGATAAAGGACAAATGCGTCTGTGCAATTGTGAGTGGTCCTAAACCATGTCACTCAAATCCCTAACCACTGATAGCGGTTGTCACCTGGACCTCAACCAGGTGGTTTGCATCTACCAATATAGGTTAGATTAACAGTCAATGTCTTCGCGGGCTGATGACACGTTTTAGCTTGGCCATCTCTAGCTTTCATGTTTATACACTGCTTTCCACCAAATTTCTTTATTTTATATTCTACCTAATTTATTGTTTCCTGATTTGTTTTGGTTGTGGTTTTGCTCATTAGATCGAAACTGATGAAGAAGAATTACGGAAAGAAATAAGTTACGCCATTCGTAATATACATGGTATTAGGTAAGTGGTCGATTTCCATTTGTATTATCTTTCATCTCAAAAGTTTTAAAACTTCGAAAGTTAAAACAACGGTGATTAATTCTGTTCTTTATGTGAGTCAGGTTTTAAGATAAACAAACATTGTAAAATCAATCTAGACTTCAAAGATTTATATGATTCTTACTACTGTAGCGTACTTATTTCGCTGACTATCAAGTTGTTTAAAATGCAGTTTCAGTATAACAATATGTGCTTTGTACACATGTATTCAAATAATGTAGAAATTGAATTGAATGCAATTTATGAAATATGATCTATTGGAGTCCTAGATGGAAACGTTACTATTGACTACAGGAAATTCTAACGGTATGTTATTCATGGTAACACGACACTTTCTGTCCGGCTATTGTATTACTTTAAACTGTTTAACTATCGCGGACCGTAATTGATTAGATCCAGGTTTTCTCTCTACTGGAACCTTCAACCCCACATAATTTTATAGACAAGGTTAGTAGTGGTTAAATTATTGTTCAAAAATCTTGCAAGTATCTAATACTAACTTTTATAAATTTTCTTTTGTTTCGGTAGAACTGGATTATTCACGCCTGATTTAGCTTTCGAAACTATAACTCGTAAACAAATTGATAAAATGAAAATACCGTCATTGAAATGTGCTGATTTAGTTGTGGCTCAATTGACTGAAATTGTACACGCATGTACTGCACGTGTAAGTATATAACTGTTGTCAGAATACTGTTACTATTATTACTATTACTGTTTTGAAGTTTGACTTGTGAAATTTGTTTATGATAAAGTTAGTATTCATCACAATTTCGGGAGTTTAAACTATTAAATTTTGATCCAGTAGCTCCATTGTACTGTGCTTTCTACGAAACCTAAAAGTCCTTAGTTCGGTTCTTGTCAACTGGATCCTGTGTATGTCTTGTTGTGGCTACTCAAAAGACGACAAAGGTTCAGTGTTTTCTTTAGTCTTCAATGTTTTTCTAACCGCGTTCATCATCATTTATTTATTAACCACATTTAGCAAGGTTGACAAACTGTTCATATTATTAGTTAATTTCTCGCTTCACATTACACTTGTCACTTTAATTGTTGGTTCTATATAAGGAAAAGTGTTTTTTTTCTTACATCAAAACACTTTATGACGTACTTTATTCATGTTTTCCTTCTTTATTCTGGATAATTTTTTTGTACTTTAACTTAATTATTGTAGTAATAATATCACTATTTTTATTTATTTTCATATGTGTTATTAAAATAATGATTTGTAAAAGGAAAGTTGTTGATTATTTAATTTAATTTGATTACATTGTAGATGGAGAATTTTCCACGTTTAAGGGAAGAAACAGAGCGTATTGTGAATCAATGGATTCGTGAAAGAGAAATTCGTGCCAGAGATCAAATTGTACTGTTAGTTGACATACAGTTATCCTATATGAATACCAATCATGAAGATTTTATTGGTTTTGAAAGGTAACTATATTATTATAATAATGATTATTATAATACTTGATTCAGTTGATGACGTTTACCGAGGTTAGAATTTCTTAGTTGCTCAATTATTTCATCTCTATTAAATTAAATGTACTTAAAATATTCCTCTCGTCTTTATGTTGATCACTAAGCATTATTATTTGTCAGCACGATGCAATAGGTACAATTGTTATCGTGCAATATGAAATTGCATATATGGACGTTAAAATATTGTTTTAAATTAATAGATGTTGGTATACCATGAAGTATAGTCAGAAATGATATTTAAACTCGAAGCCAATACCATATACCCCATTTTAAAAAAAGTTGAACCAAATAACTATTCTATGTATTATTAAATCTCAATTGACAAAAATGTACCGTAATTCAAATACATTTATTGTATTTATAAGTGCTCTTGTCGTCATAATATAATATTAAGCATTAGTTATGCATGTATGTATGTTCATTAAAAATGTTATTAATACTACTGGGTGAGTGGTGCCAACAATCAAGAAAATAAAACAACACACTTTAATTTAGAAGTATTTTTACTTTCGAACGCAAATAAACTTGAAGTTGAATTAATCTCTGTACATTATTGTATCATGAGCAAAAACAACCACTTACTAATGATTGTGATCTGTCCAACGGATTATTGTTTATTGGTGTGAGATTCCCAACAATAGTTTATCCTTATTATGTAATAAAAATGATATTTTCTTGAAGGTTCTGTCACAATTAGTCAATATTTATTATTAAGCTGCTTAAAATGTATACTTTTCTTTATCCAGATAATACATTACGTATTTATTAATGTATCATCAATTGAACAGTTTACATCGTAATAATGGCTTAGTGCTAAGCATTGTCCCCTACCAATGTTTGGTGTATCGATTTCTTTGCGATCACTTGTCAATTTCGGTACAAATTCACGAAATATGAAGATCGATTATTTTTCCATAAATTTTCTTTTAAACGTCTAAGTACAAATTATAACTCCATAAGAGTGCTTTAACTTTATTATAACTTGCCGGTTTAGACACATAGTTCACACTGTCTACTGAGACTTGTAACCCACCACGGAGATTTGTGTTGTTGTCGGGTCTCAGAAGTATTTTTTGTTCAGAGGTTTGTGGAGATTGTTGCCTCCTGCTGAAACTAGGAAATCCTTTGAGCTCTAGTGAGAACCTGTGATCACTGTAGTTCAACAGTGTTGGGTGAGGGAGTTATCCACCAATGACAGTGAAAAATGGATATTATAGCCTGTCGAACGAAGTTAGACATGTAACCATCGGATGCTGGCTCAGGTTAAGCTCTTACCACGAGATCTGTAAGTCCTGATTTCGATGTTACGTGGGTGATGGCTGTTTGCTTCTGCGAAGTCTCATACTAGGACGAGACAGCTCTATAGTGCTTCCTGATTTCCAGTGATTGTCTAGCCTAGATCTGTTTGTAATCTCAATAATATCTTTTTTGTTTGTTAGTATATTTCATTCCCACTTTTTGACGGAATAGTTTCAAAAAACACTTAGTCTAAAAGAGCATAAATATATGAATCTTTTTGTTGTATTAACGTTTGAAATTGTCGGAACAAAATATTTTTCCATCTTCATGTTCTTCTGAATACTGTGTTTGTGAATTGATTTGAGTTTACCTATTGTACGGATTATTTTTCCTTTTTTAAATCTGTCAACTTCTATTAATCTTTTTATGCTATCTAGTAAATTTTGAGTACAGTTTTCATCGTGAGTAAGTAGCTTTTAAACATTCATCTAAATAAAAAAGTAACAGTCATCCTAACTTTACTAATTAACAATGAACATTCATGCTTCTCGTCAAAAGATCAAATATAAGATGCTCAATAGTCTTTAATGACTTGTGATATTCTAAATAATAGTCAGTTTGTTATTTATCTTGCCTTATTATTATGTAATTTTGTGTCCATTGAACGATAACCATGATCAGTGGTTAGAGAGTTTATGTAATATGGCTCAAAGTCGTTCAAAATCGAACAAATTTGATCACTTTGCTTTTCTCTCCATCTTAAATCCCATTATTCTTTCATACATATCTTTCCACTCTACCTTTTTGAACCATATTCCCAATGTTCAGTCTTTCTCAGTGTCATTGCTACTACAGTTACTCTAAGATTACAAATCAAAATAAGGCTACATACATCATTATGTCAATAAAATCCTTTTCACTGTTGTTCATAAGTGCATAGATACACATTTTTAATCAATCCTGAATATATTTTTATTCGTTGATGTGTTTTCTTTAGGAATTCTCTCATACATACGCCGCTATGTATATTACGGTATGGTTTTAATGTGAAGTTATTGTCACCATAACATTTCAGCTCATACCTTTTGAAATAATGTTTGTTTACCTTTTTGTTATGTATATCTTTTAACTTATTTAATTGTTGGTGAATTTAATGATGAATACAAGTCTTTAACCATTTAGTATAATAATACATATATACATGTGATTGTTTGGGAGTGTATGCGCTTATTTGCTTGCTTATACTTGCTTTCCTGCTTTGAAATTTATGCTTACATAAATATTTTGTTTACTTTTCAGTTCTTTAACTTGAAATTCATTAATATTCACCAATTATTGTGCTTAATCAGAAGAAAAGCGCAAGAAATTTGGATTTTTGTTTTACTAGATTCTAGTTAAAAAATAATATTTCATAATAAAATCGTTTTCATTCGGATTACATTTTCAAGTTACATGATTCCATTCATAAGGAACCCAATCAACTATGTTTTATTCATATGAACACGCATTGCTTAAGTTCGCTTAGAACCTTGTGAAAACTCTCATTTCTTGTTATATAGGACAGTTTTTTTCCTAGGACGTTTTTAATCAATTTAGAAGAATTGTTTTCGACTAGCAAGATGAAAAAGATAGGATGTTGTGAATATGTTGAAGATGGTAAAATTTACAGCATGGAATTCAAAGTTACATAAGTCCAACAACACTTAGTTTAATCTGTAAAATATAAAATCAAGGTAAAATTCTATCAGCACACTATTAGATAAAGTATTATATTGTTTAATGGTTTTCGATGCGCAGTTGATGTTCATCTGTTGCATTAGTGTCAGTTATGTTTATAAATCTACGTATTAATATAACCGTATTCAGTTTTACCTACTGTTTCTGTATCCGGGTGATCAAATTAAAGAATAAAAAGGCTGGTTATACATTCATTTCTTTCTTTATTTTTCTGTAGTGCAGAACAACAGTCGTCAGAAGTAGCAAAAAATAAACCTGGAAATAAGGTCAGCTCAGTATGTTTGCTGATTTGTTTTACATATATATGTGTATATATTTTATTATTTAATATACGAACAGTTTGTTTCTATTGAGGGAGATTTAAATTCTGTAAATTACGTTGTTTTGTTCATATCCTACTAATTAAATGTACGAGTAAACTTAGTAGTTTACAAATACTATCGTTTTAATGTTTACATCTGATCAATTTATGGGGAAAAATGATGCTGACTACTTGTGATGCCATTTGGCTGTTAGAATTTCACCAAACGCTACAAGATCTAAACCTGCATTTTAATGATTTAATGCCAAATACTCAAACCATTAATTCATCACTTCCTTAAAAGTTGTCCATAGTGATTTTCTATATATTATAGTTTGGATGTAGGGTTTGTTTCCAATCCCTAGTGTTGCACATGAAAATTAAACCTATGTAATATGCAACAGGCAAAGATAGTAATCAAAAAGAGACTTACGTTTTTAAAACATCGTTTGTTCTCATGGCATGTGTGAAAGATCTCGCAGTCTACTTCGGCATATTTTTCAAAACACTTTTCATTAGAAGTCGACACATCTGAATTGTTGCAGGTTTTATTATGTTGTTTATGAAACAATTTCTCAGTTTGTTTCATATTTTTGTCCATGTTACCATGATATAATAAATTATTTTTCACATATTAGAAGCAGATGAATTTATTTAGTAATGACTTTATTATTATTGTGTAAATAATTGTGACTTGCACATATCACATGGTTAATGTCGAAAATACAACACGTACTTAATTTATTCATTCGTCCAATGTGTTTTTTGTAGCCATAATTGATTTTTAATGGTAAATTTATTGCATAATTTACCTACCAATAGACTTTTCGACATGCTGACTGGTTCGTATGTAATTATAACTTGTGGACTATCGTATTTCTAGTGTACACACAATTATTTTCTGACGTCAGATGATTTTGTTTCTTGACACGGTCTGTTTTTAAATTATATAAATCTCTCTACAGGATATCTAAGTTTGGAGAGTTTTTAAAGGATTATCCCTCAACTACAGGAATTTAATGTGTAATGTGACATTCCAATTCTTGTTTATGATTTTGATCGTGTGGCTGAGGAGACAGTAGACATTGATACTCCAACGATTAATACCTTTAAAAGTTATCCCAATTTATCCGCATTTTAACATACTATGCATGGTGATAAGGCGTAGTGAAATCGACTGTTCAATGTTTTTTTCCTAATTTCATATCGCCTGTATGCTTCGCTATTGAAGTAATTGATTCGTCCAGTTATGGGTTATCAATGGAAATGTTTTAGTTAAGTCATTTAGACGTCATGCTTTGAAGCTCGATGTATCGTAGTTATAGCGAGAAAGCCATTCAGCCAATACATCATTCGAAGCTAACGTCCGTTAACGAATTTCATACATACTAACCATCTTCATGATTAGAACACAAGTGATTTTAATTGTAAAGTAGATATTTGCGTACATTTTCATACATATTCATGTTTTGCTTCATATGTATAAACCATTATTCACAAATAATTATTATTTACATGTACATAGTAATAATTATTCGCATCACTATTTCGCTTATTTTCGAGTTACGATTCAGTCTAATTTACCTTGTTAATGGAAATTGCTTAAAGACGCAGCTTTTGGTTTTAGAGAAATTAAAACATGTACGAAGAAGTTCATTTGGAATGTACGGAACATGACTTACAAAGGAATGCGAGCAAGACGTATGCTTCGTATTATTTCGGACTCGTCAACCGGATGTAATTTCATCCCATAGTTGATGTTCACTCCGGAATTCGAACCCTGTACCTTCCACTTTAAACGGGATAATCTAAACCATTTCAAATTAAATTATGTACAGTGAAGCTTAATTTTACCATTCAATAAATGTGATTATGTTTTTTAGTAGAGGACACAATGCTTTTTATGAATATCCATCAAATTTGAAGAAATAGTTAAACAAAAATTGGGCACCGAGTATATGAAGGACAATATTTTGAAAAGAAGATATTTAAAATAATCTCAGAGATTGAAATGTAAATAACTCCATTATGTCGCGTAACAAACCGTTCCGAACTTCATCAAGGGAGCAATAGACATTGTGGGGACAGTTTTTGAAGGGTCAATTTGATAAGTATTTAGAAGAATATTTCAACATTTTACTTAGATTAAAGTTGTTTTAGCGTGGGTACTAATTATATTCTATTTAAGTAAAAATATTTTTAATTCTCTAAGTTTTGGCGAATTATTACTTATGATTTAATGCTTCTTTGTTGTCGTATGCCAGTGTTTTACTATTCATCAATGATTTCTACATATTAGGGTCTTTACTTTCAAAAGTGGAAACATCTGTAATCTCACTTGGAATCACTATGTCGAAATTCTAACCCATAAATGTGCATCCAATGTCATTATACTGAATTTTGTCTGGGGTGTTCAACGAAAATAGGAATATGTCGTTAAATAGCAACATCTGAATGCATTAATATACAGATTTAAACTTTATAAATGTGAAGAACTAACTAGACTAATGAATCATCATATCAGCATAGCTATTAGGGAAGTTCGTATTGAGTTGTGCATAATGTGACATTAAAAAGCATTTATATTTATCTACATACATTCTTGGTAAATGAATAATAAATGTTTATGCTTACATTCTTTTTTTACTTATGACTAATAGTCACATTGATTTTATTTATTTTTTCAGGTAATTCGTAAAGGTTGGTTATCTTTGCAAAATGTTACTTTGCTTCGTGGAGGTAACAAAGATTTTTGGTTTGTATTGAATACTGAATCATTGACCTGGTACAAAGATGATGAGGTAAGTTACATAACATTTATTAAATATCCTCTTATGAATTTAATTTTGAATACTTTGATATTTGCCTCGCTTTATGTTTACGACAGTAAGGACTTAGAGATCGTTAATTTAATTTTTTAGAATTTTGTCTAGTTCAATTTAGTGCTTATTGGTTTTGTGTTTTGACATTTCTCAACGGTTATATACAGGATATACATTTCATCTTAGCTAATACTCGTTAGCTAATGTAGTTGGTAAGATTGTATCCCAATACTTACTTAGTCATGATGCACTATTCCATTCATTCTTGAAAACCTGTTAAACTGTTCAGTACTTCCCAACAGATTCTACCAGTATTGGCGAAAAAAGATTTATTTTAGCCCCATTTTAAAGTTTTTAAGCTGCAAGTATGTGGTTAAATATGTTAGAAACAAATACACAACAGAATAATTTATTTATATATTTAGTCAATGTGGCCTATTAATGTTACAAATTGTATACATATATTTATATAAATATATATACTTTAGGTTACTGAATAGTTTCTGTCAACTGCTACGTAGTTAAGTATATCCAAATTTACCTACTGATCAAACAAGTGAACCATATTTAATTCGATGTAGTTTTTAACTAGTTTTTGAATAAATTGTGGAATCGGTGATTGTATTTGTTGTGGATATATTTCTGGCTCATAACAAATCCACCTTTGCTGTCTTTTTTTCTTTGCATTATGGTGTATTAGACCCTGTTTAGTTATACAGGGGCAAGTAACCAGTTTTATCCATAGGATATCAAACGTAGCTACGCTAAAACTTTGTCAAGTTACAAAATAGTACGACGCCCCTGAGCCGGCACATTTGTTGACCGATTCCTGAGGGAATCTAAATGTTTTCTGTAAAATTCTTACATCCCATCATAGTTGGTCACGACTGCAATCAGACATCCGCTTTCCTCTGTCTTCTCAATCGTTCGGGGATAAAATAGAGTTATCTGGGAGGGAGTGACCAGTATTTTTCTTAATAACCTTTTGTGGCATCGTGTCCGCTTTTGTAATTGCGTAGATGAGTCAATATGTCACTATGAATTAGTCGAAATATTTACAAGTAAAAAATATTCCGTCGATTTTTATCCCAGACTGACAGTTGGCGAATCGTTAAAGCTAGGTTATATCAGTTCGGGGTGAATATCAAATTTTCATAAAAACCTCACAAAATCACCTAGATAAATGAGTATGCATTGAATTCTTTCTTCCAAGGATATATATACTGTTAAATAATTAGACGCATAGTATTTTTATCAACCATATATTACTTGTTAATACTGAAGTCGACTAGGGATCAATATCCTTACTGTTAATTTTTCACATTTTTTTTCAGGAGAAAGAAAAGCGTTATGTCCTATTATTGGATGGTTTAAAAATACGCGATATTGAAACGGGATTTTTCGGCAAAAAACATGCTTTTGCACTATTTTATCCGGATAATCATAATGTCTACAAAGACTATAAACAATTGGAATTGTGTGCTGAATCAGCTGAATTAGTTGATTCATGGAAGGCATCATTTTTGCGTGCTGGTGTTTATCCAGCTAAAACTAAATCGGAGAAAACGGAGGTATGTAATAAAAACAACATTATCCTATGATGGCTTTCTGTGGTATATGCTTATCTTAATGATAAAATGTTTTAAAGACTATCTAACTGACACGGGATTATATCTTTTCTTACGTAGTCTATTATCGAAATCCCGAGAAACGAATTATAATATTTCACCTCCGAATTCATCTAAATCCCCTTTCACCATCAAGTCATCAAATTAAAATAGTTCCTGCTTCACTTCAATACCAGTTGTTGTGAATAAAGATAATGATAATGGTCAATAAAAGAAAACCTAATTACCAGTTATTATTTCTTTGTCATTGTATGTGTGACATTTAGTGTAAAATAAATTGAAATGTTTCGAAAATGCATAGTTTATGTTGAATTCGATTATATTATAGAGTAATTTGTTTCTGTATTGGTTGTTTGAATCTTCCCACTGATGTTTATGACTGCAATTGATCAGTCTCTTTTGGCATGTTTGAATCCTGTGCAGATTGCCTCGATGTTCTTTAAGTCACAAGCATTATAATCAGAGATGGAATCAGTAGCTAAGTAGATACACTCGACGATGTTTGAAGCGAAAGGTACTGAATTCGAGTTTCAAAGTGAACATCAACTCTGAGATGCAGGTGCATCCAGCTAATGAGTCTCAAATAGGATGAGACGTGCGTCATGGATTCCACTGTTAACCACCATTCATCTCTGCTTATATCAAATGTGTTTTTTTTCGTATAATATTACCAAATAAATGTAGATATTTTTTTGTACTCATAATAATGAATAGTGGGTTTTATTTTTCTAACATATAAATCAGCAGTAATTAAAATAGTTTTGTTACAAATGAAAACGAGTGCATTTATATACGATAGATAACATGATAGGAACTATACTGCAGTACTTTTTTATTTGCATGAGATAGTTCATATACGACTTGACCGTTATGTTTATTATCTGTAATTTTATACTAAGAAATAAACATTTTTGGTCAGTAATTTTCTTTCCACTTTCCCGTAACCATAAAATATGGATTGTTGTAAGTACTCAACTTTAAAAGATTAAAAAGGTACCTTTTTCGGATTATTGGGTTGTAGATAAATTATCGAACTTATATGTATAGAGTTAACCAATAAGAGGTATCTACGTTAACTACATTAGTGAGGACATACATTCTAAACACCAAATTTATGCTTACTTTGAGATTAGATTCCGAAAAATTTTTTATGGGCTATGTTATTACATGTTACCAATGTTTGATCAGTACACTGGTAAGAATGGGAATATTTCTGATGTCGTTTTATTAAATTCTTTTGTGAATATCATTTAATTCTTTTCAAAAATATGTATTCTATTGTGATTCTGAATCTAAATAGAATTAAGATCTTTCATACTTTGTCTATTTGAAATATTCTCCAAGTCGAAAAATTGTTTGGGTTGACTCTTTCAATAAAAAAGAAAAGAAACCTATTGATTTAACATCTTTTTATGGTTCTGGAAGGTGTTGGTCATCGATATACAAAATAAATAATTATGTTGTAGCGTTTTTATAAAAAAATTGTTCTCGTTGTTATCGATCATGCACATGATACTTCATGATGTGGTACTTATGTTTTATCGTTGGTTAACGTAACATCTTTTTATTTTATTGGATTAAAATGTACTCATCTTAGTAGCTCTAGCTAAATTCAAAACCGATTTTAAATTTACTGATCACAGCTGTGAAACCATGTTTCTTAATTAGCTCTCAAATTCCGTACACGTTTCTACGGCTATACATCGTTAGGAAAGAGAAAAAGCGAAAAATATATCTGGCCAATAATATTTTTTAGATTATATTTTATTAGGCTTATTTTCACATATCTTTAATCAATTTGGGTATTCCTTTACCCTCTTTTTTCACTATCCTTTATGTTTTTCAGCAATCTGACACTTCATCACTTGAATCCAGTGAGCCTCAGCTGGAACGTCAAGTAGAAATTATACGAAATCTAGTCGATTCATACATGAAAATTGTGATTAAAACGCAGTTAGATTTGGTACCAAAATTGTTAATGCATATGCTTGTTAATGAGGTGAGTATATATATACGTTTAAATGAAAACCCTTCATACAAAATAACAATATGATGTTTATGTTTTCCGTGGACGGATAAACTTTCTATCGTCAAAATATTGGAGTAGTGCATTATTTTATTTATCAAAGTAATTTGACAGGACTTTTACCAAGCCTCAGTATACACTGTGAGTCAACCAAATAGACATGACCATAAAACAGACAATATCATCGGTCTGTATCCATTTATTTAGTTCATTTCTTTTGAAAGTATATTGAAGTTCTATTTTTCTAAACAGTTGATAATCTGTTCTAGGTTACTTTGACTTACATCATTTTCTTAAACTAACGTCAGGGTTGTTTACGAAATTGAGACGACGAAAAGATAATGTCCGGCGCTTTAACCCGGTTGGTGGGCACAGAGGCTCCTAGGGGGCAATATGTATAGGAAAATAGTATCAATGATAGTGACACGACTAATCATTGAGAATATTGTTCGGATAAAAGATAAGAAAATATCTGTATGGAAGAATATTGAAGCCTACTATTTATTAAAGACAAAGAGTTCGTACGTTAAGATCATTGTCACCGATTCTGTGCCATGTCACCTGACATTTATAAATACTGATCACAGTTATCATTCAGACTCCAACAATGTACTCTATGTATATTAACACAGTTCAGTCTAATAATCAGTGTCTTCGTGGACTGATGATATGTGTCTCTAGCGCTCTTTAACCTACTGTCGACATTCGTATTACGTGTCAAGGTAGATGATGGTTCGGCATATATAACACATGACCCATTAGCTGCACTCAGTAAAAATTTACTGCTTTATGAACTGATTTGATATATCTACCGTGTACCTTACATCTAACTCCAGTATTGCGCACTCTTTTGTTTTGTGATATTTGGATAATATTTCATAGGCATCTGTAAATAAATGCTTAGCCTGTATATATTTTCTACTTTCATATATCATATCTCACAGCAGTAGAGTAATACAATGTTGTCATTTTGCTTCATATCTTATTGTGCTCAAGGGTTTCGCTGTTTCTAAACAATTAGAAACAAATTATTCTTAGTAGTAATACAATATAAAATCAACATACCATCATTGGTAGCATCTGTTGTCTTTTGACCATGTCAATTATCCTATGACAAAATCGCTAATCAGAATACCGACTTCTAGGCCCTTGTTTTTGTGCTAAACCAATGACACGTCAACCAGTACTAACAACCCGGCGTCAACTCTGAATTCTTATTGGTCCTCAAAATAGTGACTTTTCGCCTAACCCCCTGCCTATTGAGTCCAGAACACAGTCTCAGCCTCCACTTTATGAATCGTATGTTTCAGACATACGTAGTTTATATACATATACATAATCTTCGGATACAACAATGCTGGTACTTAGATTTATTGTAATAGACACTCATCTCAATTAATTACGATACTGTCCAGTTATTCCTCGTGAAATGTAAACCTCATTACTGTGTATGTCTAATGTAATTTCATCTATTTTATTTGATATAATTATTTTCATGGCTCTTTATGTTAATGTTTTTCGCATACACTGTAAATCGTACTATGTTAGTTGTTTTGTATCTAATTTATTTAACAGTTCCAATTTGCATAAAATACTTTTTTCCATGTAGCTTTCTAGTAATAATTAATGTCGGTTGTTAAAAAAACATTTTCTTTTATTGTTCAGATTAAATCCTTCTTAAAAGGTGAACTATTACCAAATTTATATCAAGCTGGTGACTTGGTGAGTTTCTTTTATTATTTAGAATGAATCAGTTATATTGTTTTCTTTCATTGCGTTTATAAATAGATTTTTAATTAATCTCTGTTCAATAGTGTTATGGTGATAAATTAATGGAATTCATGAATTGATTACACATAATTTTTTTTCCTGATTTTATTCCATGTTGTTGAATGGATCGAATTTGTCATGGAAATCATTTAAAAAAAATTGTATCATTGTCATTCACTATGCCATAAACTAAGAAAGTCAAAATAAACTTTATTTTACTGTTAATAATTTCTGATTTATTTTTTGCAAATAAATTTTACTCACTTTACCTATATAAAAAAGCAAACAATAAATTCAGTGAATCAGTAATTGAATATTAGCTTCAAATATCTCCAATTATGTGTAGCCTTAATTAATTTACTTCTTAATCAATATAATCCAGTTGGTGTAATTTTAGTTTGATGTTACTCAAACGTCAGTTGATTTCACTGATCAGTGTTGTTTTTTATATAACAAAAAGTAGTATGAGTTCTTTAGTTCACTTATATTGTATCTATAAAGTATGGAATTACTTACACCTGTTACTCCCAATGGAGCATAGGCTGCTGATCAACATTCTCCAACCCACTCTGTCCTATAGCTTCCTTTCCAGTTCTATCCAATTGTTGTTCATTTTTCTCATGTCTGTCTCCATTTCTCGGCGTAATGTGTTCGTTGACCTTGCGGCTTACCTTGTGACACAATTAGGTGCTTTCCTCAATGTGTGTCATATCCACTTCCACGCTTCTTCCTGATCTCTTCCTCTGGGATCTGATTTGTTCTCCCCCATAGTAAGTTGCTGCTGATAGTATCTGGCAAACAGTTCCGAAGTATTTTGCGTAGACAATTGTTAATAAACATTTGTATCCTCTGGATGATGGCTTTCGTAGTTCTCCAGGTTTCGGCCCCATACAGTAACAAAGTATGGAATGGAGTGTTTGAATTTTGATTGTTTTTACACTTGAAAAGAAAGTGGACCTTACTAATCACCAGAATTCAGGATTGTAATTAAACACAAAATAATTTGATTATAATAATTATTAATGTTATTTGGTATTTTATCCAATTAGTGTAATTTTCTTTTAATGTCTATATATATATTATCATTGTTATTACACTTTAAGAATTCCTTAATGTCTGAATCATTGGGGGTTCAACAAAAACGCGATGAAATGGTCCGCGTTTATGATGCTATGAAAGAAGCGTTGAATATTATAAGTGAAGTGTCTATGTCCACTGTATCAACACCAATTCCACCGCCAGTCAATGATGACTGGTTACAGGTAAATGGCTATTTTATGTATTTTTTTCACTTAAAGTACATTAATGCAACTTGGCTATCACATTTATGCCCATATGGTAAACCATATTTTACTGTTTGTTGATTGATAATCCTGACTAGACGTTCAAAACATCATAGATACTAAATGCTAATGGCCTTATTTTCTTGTGATATGACCTTCTAACTTACATTCTAGCCTGGAGCATCTTTTTATGTTAGAAATAATTTCTTTTTACTCTTCAAATAGTGAATCACTGTAGTGTTAGAACAACTTCAAGTTATATCTTAAAATCTCCATTATTACGTATTTTTTCTTTTACGTTGAAGTCAGTTATGTAAATAAATACGTCGAATTTTTTATTTCCATGTTGTAATACAATTTTAGCTAGTTAAACAATGTCAACATTGGCTTAAACCTACCCTGGTAATATTGACTTATCATCCAGAGTCATTAGGTTTCGAATCGTGTTCACATTATTATTACTCCTCTTACCCCATTTCCAGTCTAGTTGACCTTTTATTTATATTTATAAATGCTCTTAACAAGTATATGTGTGATCAGATTGTTTGAAATGTATTGCGCTAATATATCACATAATTCTGTTAATCTTCGTCTTCTTATTACATTATCGAAATTTATCAAAGGGACTAATTACTTTAAATATCAATATAATAAAACATGTATGTGAACCTCAAACAAATAACAGACTTTCATAGATAAATTTCAACAGTCGAAAAAATTAAACCATGTTGACTGTGTTAAGCATTTCTAGTTGATTTGTTTCGATTTCAGTTATTATATGATATTTAAAAAACTTGCTATTGTTTTTAATCGTTCTTACATTTTAATAAATAGAGTGATATTCCAGGCGGTTTAACTGCTCCGGGATCTACAGGTACACTTCCTCCTCCTAGTCCAACAGCTAATCGTCGTCCACCAGCACCACCTCCTCCTGGTGGATGGAATTCTACAAGTAATACGGGTTCAATCAAAGGCTCTGGTCCCAGACAAGTACCATCAGTTCCTGCTAAAACAAGTTCTGGACAACTACCTTCTCCATTGATTCCGCAGTAAGCTTTTGTTGTTGTCGTTGTTTTCAAATTATTGTTGTTTCAAAGTAGTGAACCCTTAAAAGAAAATAAATTATGCACTTTTTTAGACATAGCTATTAGCGTACGAAGAAATATAGTTCCATTGATGAAGAAAAAACAACTTTCTTTTCGTAAAATAACATAGAACTTCTTAATGATAGATTGTTATCACGCCTACAAACAGATATTTGTATGAGTAGAAAAATGACAGTTGGTGTGGAAGTGTTCAGAAATCGGTAAAAAAGAGTGATTTTTCTATTATATTACCAAAGGATAATTTATCTTCAACTTATACAACCATGCTGTTACGGACCCACCTTGCAAGTTTTTAATTCCTTCACATAATTTAGACCGCAAGTCGGTAAATTGTTGAACTATAGTCAATGTCTAGATTTGGTCGATACTGACTTTTTTCTTCCTCAACTAAACGCGATATACAGTTCTGAGTGATACATCATCTTCTAAAGCTGAAACTTTTACTATTATTAAGCTTTTATCAGAAAAGTGTCCATATACTTTGATTTAAGAATTATTGAATTGTCTTTACTCAACATTGTGAGCAAATTGATTATCTAAAGAACGATTAGCATCAAAACCTAACCAGCCAACATTTTTATGGCAATATTGGTCAATAGACTAGAATTGATTGTGCAAGTTTCATTTTATTCATGCACATTTCATATTATGTAGTTAAATTAATAATATACTTATTTGGTCAAATATGTGTCTGTGTGAAATGCTATTTTATAGGAGCTCTGTATGTATACTACTAAAGTATACAAATTTTATGTCGATAGTGTTGAACTCTACACTCATGACTTTAATTGTGAATGTTGAAACTAACCTTTATGATATAGGCACATTTATAGGGATAGATATAATTGGACAAATTATTTATATGGGAGATATTTCTATAGCGTTTACAAGTTTTACAGACTACTTACAATAGCAGTAGTATGTAATTCTAACAACTTAAATTAAAACTATCAAAGCCATAAAGTCAAACTATACCTCAAAATTTGTGGGAGTTAAACAGTAGATAACGCAATGTATATTTATGATTCACTGTACTATATTATAAGCTTCCAAACAACTGTTTGATTATATTATTATTTGTTTTCATTCATTATAATTATCTACTAACAGTTGTCTGTAAATTCAGTCAATAAATATGTGTGATACTACTTACGTTTTCTGTTGGGTACTGGTTTATTTTGTACTTGGAGGGGGAGTTACTTCATAATATTACATTATTCCTGTTGTAAACATGATAAACTGCACTGTTTTCTTAAATTATTTGTCTTTTTGTTGTTTCATGTGTTGTGCATTGTATATGTTGTCACTTATTTCTGTTTTATTCATTTTGTACGTCTGTTTTTCATCGATGCACATTTCCTACGATTACTACTACCGTCACAATTGTAAATCTCATGTTTTACATGTATACGTGCACATTCTATACATGTGTATGTATGTATAGACGGTTGTATCCAGCTGACATGTTCTCGATCGTGAAAGATTCCAATTCTCCTGGATTAATTAATTCTATGACAAGTTTTCCACTAGTACCACCATCCATTCCTGCGTAAGTAAATAAAACCATATATCAGTCAATGTTTACCATCCAATTTGGAATGTTGATTTTTTTCCTTGTTGTTATCGTTGTTTCTTGCATTAAAAACTGGTTTGCATGAGGTTGAAGTGAGTTTCCGTTTGTTTCTTTTTTTATTTGTATACCGAACAGAAAGTGGTATGCCTACTTATTCAATTGATGAACAAGAGATTATGAATTAATTACTCTATCAAGCTACTACTTTCACATAATCTCTTAATAACAGTGTACATAAATACCAAACGGCTTAAATTTAATTTCAATGAAATCTTGAGTCGATCACATTTAAACAACCATTGAAAACTTGGAAGCACTGGATGGCCGTTTGGTTTTAGTACGAAACTAATTGTACGAATTCCTTATTATTGTTAAATGAGTTATTATGTTACATCTCAGCTTTATATCGATGATATTAATGTAGATAAATGTACTTAAAGTGTGAAAGCGATTTATCATCAGGTGATAAGGTAAACGCTTGATTCGAAGATAACCATCCTTTCTCAGTATTCAGTAAAACGTACAATATTCAATAATTTCGACCATTTCCTCATTCATTTAGTCCGTCAGTGTGACATGTAAAACTGTAATTTACACTGAGAGTCTTCTGTTAATAGGCTACTGTAGCTCATTCCAACTTCCAGGATGAAAAAAAGCAATAAAGTGAAAGTTACAACGAAATTTAAAGCTAAAATAATTCTTTTATCTGTAGTATTAACTTTATATATAATAAGTTAACAGAAATAATGCTAGGATATTGCAAACATATTACACATTAATCGACAGATACACTATAAATTCACAGATGTATATCTTATGCTTACGGTTGTTATCACTGATATTGAATCTTCGACACCTTTAAATGTTAGGTTTGTTTGAATTATTCACTGTTTTTATTGTAATGATTTGAAATTGTCAAATGTGCTTGAACATATAATATTGACATTGTGAATTTAAAAACTCATAATGCATATTATAAAGTTTGTGATAACTAACCGATGCACGTTTCTACTCGGTCTTATGTTATTTGTAATTAAAACTCAAACGACTTTTAGGGATAATATTTTTTTATGAGATTTATTCCACATACGTTTTTTCTAAATTCCCCAGTTATATTTACATAATAACACTTTAGTAATAGCTACGAACACTTTTTGATCGATCTACTACTTCAATAATCGTGATCAATCATTTCACTTAAAATGTCTTTCACTGTAGATCTTTGCATATCTCACAGATTAAAACTTTCAATGATTCTAAGTTGTTTATTCACACTCATTCTGTTGTGACCTTTTGTAATTTATATTCGGTTCACAACGAATAGTCATGAATTATTTTTAAACATTGTATAATCGTTGAGAAAATGTGAAATTTCTTCATTCTTCCTATCTTACATGTTAATAATAGTAATAAGACATCTACTATGATGAAAATTTATTTAATCTTGTGGTACACACTAAGGGCTCTTTAGGTAAAGCTATACCTATACTGATGATTTTGAACTGATTCTAAGTCTATCAGAATCCAAGTGATGTATGTGGATAATATACTACGTAAAATTCCATAAAGGTTTAAGAAGCAAGTTAGAAATCAAATGCGAGAATGCTGTGCTGTCATAAGAATGAAAATACAGATAGTTCTTTGGTTTTCTTTAAAGTCTAGTACCTTTCTTATTATTTTAAATATTTATAAATTGTGTTCTTTCTATGTTTATAAATTTTAAGCATCTTACTAACTAAATATTGACAGGGCTTACTCAAATCCTAATAAAGTACAAATTAACCTCAGTCTTCAATCTGATTGATTTGTCGGTTTAGTTTTCCGCTTCTTGAATCAGTAAATGTATATAATTTACTTGTCAGAAAAATAATAATAATCTTTTCTAACGGTCTGTTGTGAAATGTTTCACACTAGACAGGAAACGTTCAATTAAGGTCTGGTTTAAACAAAGTTAAGTATTTAGTTTCCGATGTTATTTTTCACTTTTCACTGTTTTAATATATTTTTTTCTCCACTAATTTTCAATCACACTTTGTCCGATTTCATTTTAGGCGTCGTTGATATTACCTATTAGATGTCGTTGATAAGTCACATCACTCAAACACTGTTATCAGAATCCATTAATGCAATTATTTATTCTTAAAATCAATATTACATTTTCTTCTAATAATAATATTATATTGTGAAAAACAATTTCAGTTGGTGACGAGTTATGTCAAACAATTATACATTTCAATATGTTACATCAGTTAACTTACATGCGAACCTCCATGCACATGGACACACTCATATATATATCAAATTTGTGAAGCTTGGTTAATAACCAAGCTGTTTTGATGCATAATAACAAATATTGTTGTATACTTCATAAATTATTCTTATTGTTGTAATCAATCTCATTCAACATTATCATCATCATATTCCTTACCGTCTTCAACTTTATCCTTCAAACCATATATTTACACAGTAGTATACGGTTACACTATTGATCTTTTATTTAAAATTCTGTTTGTAATTATATTACAGTTGTTATTCCTTTATCACTATTATCATTACCTAAAACCCATACTACATTTATTACCAATTTATGGTAATGTTAACGATAAGTATAATATTACTTATGATTGGTTTGGAAAATATTATTATTCATTCCTTGTTCTTTGTGTTTTTATTCACTCGTTAATTAATTGAAATATGTTGTGATGGAGGATTACTATTTATTTTGTAGATATTTCCTTCATTTTGTCATAAGTTAATTATTTAATGGTTTTTTTATATTGACTGGGATATTGTTGTTAATCATAAGGTGGTATAACTTATATTTTAGCAAAGATTATTAGAAATCAAATTGTCTTCTAAATAATGGATATACATATATTAAAACTTATTATTTGCTTTCAGAGAACTATGTATATAGTTTGTCCACAAAAAAAATGCAAATTAAGATATTTACGTTATTAATTATGAATTTAGGCAATTTTGTTTCTGCAAGTAGGAAACTTCATTTGTAAATTAGTCTCATGCTACTATTTTTTGATGGTATCGAATACAATGGATCCTTTTCCAGGAAAGCAAACTAGGAATGTTGCCTTATACTGTTGTTGCTATCTTGACATGGTGGTCGGGCTCGCCTATCGTGATGAAGCAACCGAGCTATACTGGCTGGAACAACCTTTCCTCACGGTCCTACCATGTCAGACAGGTCGGTTGAAGAGCGGTAGGACTACAAGCAACAAACCCAAAGTCCGAAGGCGAAGTTGTACTGCTGACTGTAGAGGGGTGTGACAGAAGTAAGGTGTTTCCTTCAGACAACCAGCATGACAGCGGTACTGTCTTCCCACAAGGAGGGATGGGGTTAGAAAAGGTCGACCCTAAAAATGCGCACCTCGCCTTAACCCACGGATATCCGTCTCCGGCGGTAAGGTCTCAACAAGTACGGAGCTAACACAAAAATTACTCATAGAAAGGTTGTGTGTGACCGACCTCAAGCAGTTGTCCCTTAGGCACTGCGGTCACGCTCTCACGTCACTAAGACCACCTCTAATCCAATTTCCTTTTTAGGTACCTCCAGAAGAACCCTTCCACGGTGTGGGCAACCAGGAAGTGATAACCGCCCTCATCTTTGACAGCACTCAAGACCACTGTATTCATAATCAATCTCCCCCTTCCAACCTTGTATCTAAGGTTTATCATCACCAAACATCAAATTGGAATTTCGTTTTATTCATCGAATTCCAAAAGTTATGCGTAAGTAGCACTAAGATGTTATAGAGACGATGAAACGTGAAATTAGTAAGGATCTGTGGATGTGACTGAGGATATTTTGAACAGTTTCAATGTAAATCGGGCAAGTGTATTATCACAAATGGGAAGTGGTTCGAAATGAATGTACCTTTAATTTTGTAACACAATGTCCCTAAAACGTGAGTTCTCGTATTAACTGGAAGGTTTCAACGTAAAGTGTAACTGCAATTCTGGTGAAGTAACAGATAAATCACCATAGGATTGACCAAATTAATGAATTTTGTGTTATGACGGAGTATATACTGAGTGTTTGAAATATAATAATCGAGGCTTGTCTGCATTGTCTTCCCACTGAACTCAAGACTAAAGGGAAGAAGGTACTCATATTGACGGATTAATGTAAGTCAAAATTATCTCGTCAGCGCTTAGGGTTAATCGTACTAGCCTTACGGGTCTCATTGTCAGAGTTTAGTAATTAGTCAATAGGCTACAACAAACCAGCTTTTCATCTCTGGTCAGTTTTTATTTCTTTACAAAAGGAATTTTTCTAAATTAAATGGAAACGCTAAGTTTAAAAGTGAAACATTCAACTACACATTGGATGTAATGAAAAAAACGCTTCACTTAATTTCGAGTAGCGTTATTTTGACATAAAAATTTCAAATTCATTACACATTTTATGCTAAAATTATTGTTAGAAATGAACACTTATATGTTTACTTAGTAATATATTTAGTTATCTTCAATGTAGAAAGATTGTATTGGGAAATTCGAACCGTTTGATGACGCATTAATTGTTTAAGTTTTAAATGTTTACTACAAGACTTGGAGTTCTTCTGATTGACTAACTGCTGTGAGGAATCCCAGGTTTATTTAACCGGTCGCTCAGATTTATCCGTATTGTTAAACCTAGTTATCATTGACATTCTCAATAATATACTCTAGAGTGATTACGAAATCCCAAGGAATAAAACGCCCAGCAGACGGGACACAATGACAACATAACTACAAATATTGCTATAATTTCAAAGCATAACTCAGAAACTTAATTATGATTACTTACAATACATATCAGTTAAAGGATGTAAGAACATGCGTACTGCAGGAAAAATTCGTTATATTATGAGACAATTCCTCGTAAAAATATGTTTTAAGCTTTATCAATCAAGAAGTATGTATGTATGTATAATGCTTTTATGATATTTGAATTTTGTCAGAATAACTGTTAAGTCCATAAAAAATCTCATTCATAAGTATCCATCTCTCCTTAAGAGATTTCATATAATTAAGAATGGGTTTTTCAACTACCCTGTATAACTTCCGCATTTTCAGTGTGTACTCCTTCATTGATTCTATGGAAATTTCAAATGAAACAAATTAACGGTGTTCAAACTATTGCATTGTAATTATTTTAATCCAGTTGCGGTAGTTACTTATATTTACGTTACTCTGTGTATTATAAATAGCTGTTTTTGTTCGAGTTAAAATTTTGAAGCAAACGGGAACGCATTGCTCCCGATTGATTTCTTTCGCCAACACACATTAGTTTACTGGGGGAGGTTAATACTCAAAATAAATGGAAGATTATGTATTGATTTAAATGTAATTTGTTTTCAGTTGACTTCCATATTAGCTAAGTGTGATATATATTCATCTGATTTACGAATCGATTCATTGTAATTTACACTTAATATTAAACTAATTTGCATCCATTAATCCAATGTGATTTTATGTTCACTTGACTTTTGTTCGATATGGTATTCAATAATAACTTCATGTAAAAGTTAATTATTTTGACATTTTCTTTAACTAATAATCAATGAATATGTTGGGGATGCTAGACCCCCAGAAATCACTTAGTAAACGTCTTATTTTTGTAATTTTATATTGGGAAATTGAATTTATCGTCTTCGCGTCGAAAGCGCCCATTTTTACTTTCAGGTTGTATTTCCCACTTGAAAAGACCCTAAATGTCATTGGTTGGTTGGCTCCTTTAATGTTACATTTTGTGACGTTTCCCGAATACATCTTTATACTGTTTATATGCACTTAAGTTGTGTGCTTGTTGTTCGTGTTTCTGAATGCTTGCGGAATATACTTTCCCTCATCTAACCCTGGACTTCTCCCTCTACTTAACGGGGCTGGGATGAACTGGAATAGTTTAACTGTCTTGTAGTTATGTCACTGATCCTTTGTTCCGTTCGCCGGTTTTTAAGTAATCTCGTAATTCAAAATATGTATTTGAATGACTAACAATCTTCTTAGGTGAGACTTCTAAACAAGCTTGAACGGTGAGACCCTAATTTGTGGACGGGCTAGTCAGAAGCGTTTTAGAGATTTCAAGGTCACGGCGCCGGCTTCAGTGCTTAATGCTAACGTACGATCAGTTCACAGGGAATTTTGTACAAAACGTGATAATTGAGCGGCTATAACAAATAAAACGGCGAGACTATAATTTGTGGACGAATCAATCAGGTATAAGATAATAGATCTCGGATTTTAATGCGAAAGCCTTTCATGCATTTGGCTAAATAAATTTCTGACATTATAGCTGATGTCAGTTCGTGATGAAAATTTAACTGAGGCAAATTCGACATTTATTGCGAACTGGATAATAAAAGCACTAGTAACACTGGCTGCAGCCAGGTACTACAATATATACGGATGTTTGGAGAGCGTACATACTCCTACATGGGCTTGGTTATATGCATCGTGTCGTTATCCACAAGTAGCATTTTGTGCACTCAACAACCGGAGTGCACATAAACAATATTGAAACTATGTGGCTGAAAGAGTATTTGAGACTTTATGGTGGCTCCAGAGGCCGACTATTCTGTAGCCGTATGGATGATTTCCTCTACTACCTGCATTACGATTTTAGAACCTCTGAACCTCTTTTTAACCTTGACAAGTTTTTGAATCACTTGTGAGAATTGTATCCACTTTATTTCCTTGGTTTCGTATAAATATTTTTACTCCATACTGACTTTTCTGATTGGCTAATATTCCTCAGGGTCAGTTAAGATTCGTTCAAAGGTCGTCCATAAATTAGAGTCTCGCCGCTTGAACTTTTTTCTCTAGTTATTCCACCATTGGAGTTACAGCTAGGAGTTATCCATTTAGTTCATAGACTTACCCTTAAACGAAATGCCTTTTCAGCTCATAATTCTCTTCAATTTCTATTGACATTTGGATATAAACAATTTACTTAGCAATTCAATGTTTTGTAGCAAGTGAATTATGCTTTTCTCCCTGAAATTATTCGTACAGAAGTCGACAATTAGGGTCTTCATTTGACAAGTTCATCGTTTCCTTGAGACCACTTTCTCTATTACAATTGTTTTGTTGATGTAGTTCAACAGCTATTAAACTATTCAGCTTAAAAATCCTTCTTATATTTACGAAATTAACTACCACCAACAATACACATATGTTTTCGGCGGAAATATTGATTTCATCGTTTCTTTTATCACTCGATTATTGAAAAAGTTTCCGGTTGAATTGAGACATTATAAAAACTTGTTTAAGCTTAATTATCGCCAATATAATCAAATATTATTTCTTGGTTAACAGTTCACTTATAGCAATCTATCTGTTACTTGTCTGTGGGATTTATCAAACTGATTTCTTAATTGTTTACTGTTTTTGGTTAATAGTAAATCCGCTTACTTTTTAACGACATGATCGATGTGATCTTGTACAGCGAAAGCATTTTGTTGTAACGGATGGATTGCACGGTCAGATGCGCAGCGTTTTATTGATCGATTCAGTGACACGTAAAACTCATAAGGACGACCTAGAGTCCCGATTGGTCCTGCTCCCCTGTCTAGCCCAGCCAGTTGAGTCTAGAACGCAAGTCACAGCCTCTGAGTTATGAATCGTTATATTTCAAACATACTCTGTTTATATACCAACCAAACAGACCACATCGTACCATAAAAATAGAAAACAACATCTGTACAATATTGAACGAGTGAAATAAATAATGGCCAATAGGGAATGCCCATTTACAGTCCAAGGACATCATTAGACTTAACATGATAATGATTGGTATATTCCTCAGCATCCCTAACACATTTGCTGACTAATGTGAAAATAAATCGATACTGTGTTTTTGTATCAGACTTTTTTCTCAATATTAACACATTTTTCCTTTTTTGTCCGTTGTCTAGTTCTGTGATTAGCATGTTTTTTTTTGCGGA